TAGTGCGGATTTATTGAATGAAATGATCTTTCTATAAAAAAAAAAAAAAAAAAAAAGGTGCATGAAGGTCGTGCGGATTAGGCGATGATATGACATAAATTAGTAAAGTCTAGAGGACAAAGTATCTAAAATAAAACTTTTGAGTACTATTTTGAGTTGTGAGAAAATTAGCAAGTTAAAAGATAGTGCAATACCGAATTCTTTTGGTGAGCAATAGAATCAAATTGCAGAATTGTAGTAATTAGCATAGATAATTGTTGCATGAGAACGAAGTTCTCTAATGCGATTAAGTTGAATCTAAGAAAAGTTATTATAAAATATCACTTTTTTAATGGCACTTGTAAATGCCATCAATTTGAGCTTCTATCCCACTTGAATGGCACTCATAGGGTTCATTATTATGAAAAATCAAAACTATCATAAGGTCATCATGATGTCATAAATATATATATCAATCATATCTCACATAAAGTAGCATTTTTTTCTTGTTCTTAAAAGAGGATCAATAATAATTCTCTACTTACCTCTTTGATAAATCAAACCCTTGACCTTTCGACTACAAGTGAAGCGTCTTAATAACTACGTCGGGCTTAGTTGTCTCACACAAAATAGCATAATAACATTTAAAATTTCAAAGAAAAAATGATGGCTTTATAACTGAATCCATAAGTCTGATTTGAGAAAAAATATAAAAAATTAAGATTGTAATCAAATTCAGAAGAAAATTATGAGAGCATTTATTGCGGTTGAAATTATCCATAGCTCAAAAATAATTAATTATGGTGAAAACCTTTGAGTGTCAAACTCTGGGCAATAAAATTTAATAAAACTTAAAGATCATAAAATAGAAGGAGAAAATGCAACACAAAAAAGAAGAAGAAATTGTTTGTATTTTTAGCAAAAAAAAGATCTTGGCATCTAACATCCTGGTTGTAATCGCTCCCCATGCTAGGAAAGGCGAGATACTCTTAGAAAGGAGAGTCTGGAACCCTTTTCATAGTTCCCGTGGCTAATTCTTCCTTACTTTAACTGGTCACGGGAGCCAGAAAGAGTGAAAGGAAAGAAAGTGGAAGAAAGTCTCATTTAGTACCTCGATGGTCTATTATTTTCCAGGTTTCCTTTACCCATCTGCAATCGTCTTGCGCCATCTACAAAAAGCTCCGTCTTAACGTCCCTACTTGGCTGAGAGATAATTTGCAGAGAGTTAGTTTGTGGAGAGTGTTTTTTGTGAGAGAAATGAAAAGAAGCAAAATTTGACTAAGTGTTTTGGCCGGCAAATTGAAAGTTTGAATATTTCACAGCAAATGAATCTTCCGCCAATTCACTATATATGATGTTGTTTTGTGCCTTTTCTTTTTTTTTTTTTTATATCTCACATTTTCTCAAGTGTCATGATAGGTAGTCTAAAGGCACATTATTATTCTTATATCAGATAAAATAAAAAAAAATAGAGTGTATATTATTGAGTTGATAACAAATGTCATAATAAAAGTGCTATAATGACACAAACCAACAAGTGTTCTTATAGACATGTCAGGAAAAGCCATTTTTGTTGTAGTGTAGTGTATAAATTATTAGTTAGTGCATAGAAGATTAATTCTACATACATACATATATATACACATATGCACATATATATACTAGTGAGACGGCCTGCGCATGGGCTAATATTTCCCGTGCTAACTGTTTTTTATTGTGTGGTTTATTAGTATACATCTATGTTATTATCTAATTCATGCAGATCATTAGAGAATTATTGTTTTTATTAAAGGTTGACAATTATGAAATATATAGAATACATGAGAACAATAATATATAGAATGCATGAGGGCGCTTATATAGAATGCATAAGCGTAAATTAGAAAATTGTATAAGGTTATTTTGCATTTGATTTAGCATAATTAGAAAATTATGAAGTGAATCATTCCCAAAAAAGTATTAATCATTGTTGACACAAAAAAGGGAGACTTGGCAAGTCAATTAAGCACTTAAACCATAGAACTTGGCATTGTTAAATTAATCACCACATATCACAGTAATAAAATCCATTTTTTAAAGTTACTAAAGCCAACAATGGTTTATTAATTGTTTCCTCAATAATTGTGCATTTACAGAACACTTAACAATATTATATGATGTCAAACCAACAATAATTTATTCATTGTTTCCTCGTTAATTGTGCATTTACAGAACATTTAACAATTTTATTTCATGTCACAGTAATAAAGGCCATTTTTAAAGTCACTAAAGCTAGCAATAATTTATCAATTCTTTCATAGGTAAAAAAAAAGGACACTTTAAAAGCAAATAATTAACCACAAAAAAATCAACTTTCAAAAGCTTCACTTTTTACACCACCAATTACTAATTTGATCAACATGTCTCGTAAATGCACCAAAACTATACCTGCTTTAAACAAACAAAACAGGCAATTTGATGAAAATAGCCCCGACATCCAATAACAATTGTAGGATAACCACTTGACAAGAAAACACTGCTCATAGGACAACTCTTCATTTATATTATTAGATAATTGCAGGATAACCACTTGACCAAAAATACCATTCATAGGGTAACTCTCCCTTTTGTATTATATATATAATTATATTATATATTGTTTGAAATTTAGAGTACTTTAGCTTTTTAATGTAAGAAATAATCTAATTAATGTTACATGTTTGACTAAAATAATAAAAAAAATAGCACATTGCTTTTCAATTTAGAGTCATTAGGAAAAATGAATGTGTTAAAAAATTTATATTAATTATATATATTAAATACGAATATGTTAGAAAAATAACAAATTAATTTTTTTAAAAAGGAAATAAGTTAACCATCTAGCTCACATACAAGACGGAAATAACTTTATGCTTATAGAATGGAAAACTAACAATAAAAATAAGGGGCATCAAAAAATTTGTAATAATTATATACATTTAATATGTATATATAGACTAATATTTTTTTTAATAATTGTGCATCTTAAATAGTAGAAGGATTATAAACCATTTTTAGTCCCAAATCTTGACAGCCAATTTTCGTTACTTGTGATGACAATGTTGGACTTCTACTTTTTTTTCGGTTCAATTTTTGGAAATCATGCAATTAGAAGTTTCTTGTCAACATGGTAGACAACCACTTCACCCAATGCAATGAGTATTAAATTGCATAGAAAAACAAGCACACACAGAACTTTTATTTATCGCCTCACAAAGTAAACCACCAACGTGAAATAACCAAAACAGCCAATTGACGAAAATAGCCTCCACATCCAACAATAATTGCAGCATAACCGCTTGACCAAAAAGCACTATTCATAACCCAACTCTCCCCTTTTATATCCTTAGATATTATCTTTTATAAAAAAAAAAATTAAGCTCATAAATTAGCACACACATATAAATAGAATGAAAACTATAAAAATAAAAATAAGGGTACTAAAAATTTTCTAATAATTATGCACACTAAATATAAATATATAGACTAATATATCTTTATAATTGTACATTTTAAAAAATCAGCAAAATTAGAAACTATTTTTGGTTAAAACCTTTTGGCACTTTAAACTATTTCATTAACTTTTGATGAAAATGCCGGCCCTTTTTTTTCCGTCCAGCTCAATTTTTGGAAATTCCATGGAAGACAGTCCGCAGCATGGTTACATGCATAGTCACAGCAATAGTTATCACATGAAAATTTAACACTGCATCCACTTAGGCGTGCATTCTTTTCCAAACAAATTTATTTCACTATCCGCTAAATTAAAGAAACATGTAGAAACAAAAAGTGAGGCATCCACAAAAGTGAACAATGAGTCAACAAAAAATCGGGTCAGAAGACAACAAAATTACCAAACAATCAAGCAACTATAGCATGCAGCTTGAACGAAGAAAAAAAGGACTGGCATAACTGAAAAATAAGACAAACCTAAGGCTAAACTAATACTCAAGAATAGCTAAGATGGCCTATCTCTGCGGATCACAATAGGCGAAAATGATGCAAAAAAGAGGAATAAAGAACAAATAAATTACAAATAAACCATACAACTATAACATGCATCTTCTGGCCTCCGAGTAAGGCTGAAACAGGAAATGGCATTAGCAAAAAATGAAGGACTACTAAGACTAATCCTAATGACATGAGGAACTGCCAATGACTGATGCAAATGGAGTTCCCGAAAAGTCAACAAAACCAACAAATACAAAAGCCATCAAAGTTGCCGAAAATTACTTGATAACCACTTGACAAAGAATTACTACTCATAACCCAACTCCCGCTTTTATACAGTTAGATGTATGTGTATATGTGCATATGTGTACACACACACACATATATATATATATATATATATGTATATGTATGTATGTATATATATATGTATGCACATACGTGTGTATCCAAATCCAAGAGTTATCATCATTACCTAAGATTACTGATAATACATATTTGAATTCAATTCTATCATGAGATAATTTTAGCCGCTAAAATTTAGGATTTAAAAATTTTGCATTTTTAGTGTATAAAAAGTAAAGGTGAGGATGGGTAATCAAAACAAAACTATCACAAATTAGGATTCTTGAAACTTTGGAGTATCAGTTTCGCTTTCTTGAACCAAAAGTGGGGACGCTTTGGCAGCATTCACGAGCTAGCCTCAGGAATGCTGAAACTTTTCTTTTTTTCTTCCACGCTTTGAAATTGTTTGTTGTTGTTGTTGACATATTTTTCCTTTAACTTTCCTCAGAACAATTTGTTTAGTTCATATGTAACTTCATTCATTGTCTATTATCTTTCTCATAGAAATAAACAGGTAATATAAATATGTGCATGTGCATGGGTTAGCATCTAGTATTCTATGAAAATGCATCTCTTGCTTTATATGGTTTAAAAGATTGGGGAAAATCTAAGACGTGTGTTCTTTACATGAAATAATCATCTACCATCAGTTTCACAATATTTTTTCAAAACCATAGTAGTAGTAGTATGCACTCAGTCATCATTCCTTAAGAAATGGAAGAATGAAAATTTTTACTCATTGTGCACTTGCATAAAGGGTGATTTAACAATTGATAACTTCTTGCAAATCTTTCAATACAGACCTGGCTTTCTAATCCTTGGGCAGCAGTTAGAACACGAGCTCTTTCAGCCTCAAAAGGGCTAAGGGTGATGCCTTTACATTGAGAACCATATTTGCTTGCTAGGTACCTGGTGCTGCCACCAATACCGCATCCAACATCAAGTATGTTTCTTGGTTTCTTAGATGGATCCTCTGCATATTATTTCATGATAAATAATGCCGGTTGGTTGACTATTAAATGACAAAGTTGGAGAGGAGAAAAAACTAGAAATTATGAGGAGGATGTTTCACTAGGAAAGTAAATAGACATTGAAAGGAAATCAAACCATTTCTTTTTTCAATGTGTGCATGACCTAAACCCAGAGTACCAATTACAGAAATTGCATATGATTGCCCAGAAAAAAACAAATTCTATGCTTAATGTATATTCACATTGCATAAGGCTTGTCCAAATTATAGAACTAATCCTGTAATTTGACCAATTTGTAATCTAACCTTTTGAATAGCCAAATACCCCTAAATCCATTGCAAATGTAGCGAAAGAAAAACTAAAGCTACTAAAATGAGAAAGAAAAGTAAAGACCAAAAGAAAAAAGAAAAACAAAATGCTGCTTCTGTTTTTATCCTTCCCGAATTGATTATCCCCGTTTACATATGCATGTACTATTGAGTGTAAAATTTGGTCAATTCAAAGTAAGGGATTTAAAATTCCTCTTTAGATTGTACGTCGGAACTTTAAACCCTACACCCACACCTTATAGTTAAAAAAATTCAAAAAATATGGCAGAGCACCTCTTTGGTTTAGATGAACTTGCTTGTTCTCTAGTCCCTTATACAATCTAGTTGAATTTCTCTCCTGTAGGGTAGGATAGTATAGAAGTTGCTGATTGATAAAAAAAAAAAAAAAAAATTTGAAATGGTGTTTTTTGGTCATTAACTGAAAGTTTTATTTTCTTTCCTACATGTGAAGAAGTATTTAACTTGAAAGGAAATAATAGATTTAAAGTGACGGCTGCGTTTAATTGCCAATATTGTATTTAAAGTGAAGGCTGGGTATTTGACAAATGTTTTGCTACTGGGGTATTCGACTGTAATCTGACCAAATCACAAGGCATACTTTTTAATTAGGTCAAAGGTCAAATCTCAGGAAATATGATTGAAATTGACCCAATCTTGAGTGATACCAATAAACTTATGTGTTGATTTTTCGAAGGTTAAGAACAAGATGCATGACTAGCGCAATTGGCAGAGAAATGATATTCCATCTTAGATAATTCTTTAATATTAAGTGCCTGTTTAATATTAGAATAAATTTTATATACACTGTAAGTATATATTATTAAATTTAAATTTTACACATGTGTTATATATTTAATAATAATAATGTATATATTGACAGTGTTTATAAAATTAATCCTTAAGATTATGACGACTTATTGAGAAGTATTTCACGTGGTAGAGATTCGGACAAGAGCACTTATTTAGTGTTCAATTATATCATTTGGGTGCAAAGTTACATAAGTGCCTTTACTATTAGAAATATTTTATCAATCTATTAGAAATATTTTAAAATAAGTGCCTTTATCTCACGGTAAACGATGACCGTCGTAGATGACTCAACGAAGTCACAATCGAAATTAATTGGAATTAATCTGCACCCCAGTAAAAAAAGCTTAGCTCTGCAGCAAAATACAGTTTTGTGCCATAACTACAGCATTTGTACTTGGAGAAAGAGAAGAAAACTCCACACAAACTGCGAATGCATATCTTGAGAGAGGTGCGACGCTTATTATACCTGATACAGAGGCAAAACGGAGGGCCGCCTCGATCATGCGAGTCTGAGCAGAATTGACATCAGAACCAGGGATAACGGAGCTAGAGTCATAGAAGCCCAAATGGAAGTGATCCCCAACTAGATCCTCTAACATTTTAGAGTGGACATCATATGTCATCGCAAATTCCTTGTTCATCTTCTCTGTCTCCACCTTTCCCTCGGTATCCGTCTTCTCCCCCTCCATTATTGTTGGTTGTACCGCACAATCCTGTTAACCTTACTCAAGTTTTAGTGCCAAACTAATGGAGGACAGAAAGAAAGATGTTTTTTTTTTTTCAGGGTCACATAATATGCAGGTGCTAATTTTTTCCTGCTAGACGGCAAGTGTTCCAGATCTAAGCAAAAGAGAAATCCCATATATTAGCATGCAAACAGCTGCTGGATTTTCCAATAACGAAGAAAAACAAACGTCTGAAATTGATACACTAAAATTTTTACAAAAAAAAAAAATCAATTAATGAAGTGGACCAGAGAAATTGAGAGCCAGGCATGTAATAATTACCTAGCTAGCAAAGAACAAAAGCTTCAACGTGTCCTGAGAAGCAAAGCAGCACGCAAGACAACTTGTGAGAAGAACGAGAGAGAGGGAGAGGGAACAATGTGGCACTGACTGTACTGGCTTTCTTCGACTATAAAGGTACTAGCATGATAAAATCTGCTTGTAAACGTGTGGGGTATTTATGTAAAACTCCTTTGAGGTTTATAACAATTTCATGTTGCTCCGTTCAAGTTTTTGAAAAGTTACAATGATCTCCTTTATTTGGACGTCAAGATAATATGTGTCATTCATATTAAATAAAATTTAATCTCAAGGTACAAGAAGGAATTTACCAAAAGGAGCTCTGTGACCAAAAGGATGCATTTTTTTTTAATATTTAAGGGACTATTTTAGCTAATTCTAATTGCGAGGGGCTAAAAAATTTATCAAAAATGAAAAGGACCAATTTGACAATTTTTCCTTTATTATAATATTACCTGCATTTGTAATATTAACGGGGAAAAATTCTAAAAAATTGACCTTACATAATTGTCCTGTTTTGGGTATGTGAAATGCACATAGAACTCATTCCTTAGCATTAACAGATATATTTGACGGAATGACTGCTAGTATATTGATTTAAGACTTTAGTGATTATATTGAAACAAAAAATATTTGAATGGCCAAAAGAGTACGAAGGGAATAGATTAGTGGCTGTTGGACTTTTTAGATTTGGATTGATAAACTTAGTGGATATGATTACCCTTAAATTTTGGCACTTGATTTGCATGTGTTTGGTTTATTTGTAAAACTAAGAGCAAAATCCGATGAAATAACCAACGGTGTATTGATTAATTAGTTGAGTGATTAAATTGAGACAAGAAATAGTTTGGTAGCTAGAAGTAGATGTCAGAAATAGTTTAGTGGTCGCCATTTTTTTTTGCCCAATAATAAAAGAGCAAAATTTGTTGTGTGACGTGCATGGTGGTTCACACATGCAAGTCGTCCATTAGCTCCCTTGATTTTCCTTGCAGATCGCAGAAAGAATATTCCTTATGGGAGCGAGCTAAATAGTGTAAATTGAATAAAATTATAACAATAAAGGATCAAAATAGTAATACTTCCAAATGGATAATGTCCAAACTCCTTTAAAAAGTGGTCAATCTTTATTATACCGAAGTTTGTCAAAATAGTCCCTCATATTTTTAATAAACACTATTTCAGTCACTCACGGTTAAAATCAATCAAAATAGTGTCTTAGATATTGAATAAAAATGTGCCCATTTAGTCTCAGAACTCATTTTTTATTAGTTTTCATGTCAAAAAAGCACACTGTGTCTTAGGTCCCCACAATTTCAATGGCAAAATGGGAACATTCATTTCACTTGAAAAAAAAAAAGAAAAACAAAAATTGATGACAATCGCATGATCACTTCTCTAGGAATCCTAATTCTTATCCACCAAACCCATAGTCGACCAAGAAAGCATGAAGGTCACTTGCAGGTTACTCTTTCATGTTTGATTATGAGGTTGATGGATAAAAATAAGGATTCTCTATTCAAGAGGTGGTCATATGATTGTCTTATGCCTTTTTTTTTGGAAGAAAATAAATTGTGTTCCCATTTTGCCATCAAAATTTTGGGCACCTAAGAGGCTTGCCTAAAAAATCAGCTCTGTGACCAAAGGATGCATTATATATATATATATATATATATAAGGGACTATTTTAGCTAATTCTAATTGTGAGGGGCTAAAAAAATTATCGAAAATGGAAGGGACCAATTTGACAATTTTTCCTTTATTATAATATTATCTGCATGTGTAATATTAATGGGATCTCAAAGAATCAAAAGAATTTGAATAAGGTCAGAATCCAAATCAAAGTCATCAACAACCAAAATCATGTGATCAAGAGTTCAGCTATTACTTAAGAAACACTTTATTCTTTATTAATTAGAAAAACACTCAAATCTTTATCCACAATTATGTCTTTGATTATTTTCTGCAGGTATGAACTATGAGGTCAAGTGGGTGTATCCACCATGTAAGAGGCAAATCAAAACTCAGAAGAAATGTAAGAATCTATATCCAGAAACCATTATTGCACATAATAAATTGTTTTATTCGGAAACTGTACCCACCACATGCGAGCCAACGCTGTACCTAACACATTATTTTATTTTTAGTAGAAAACCTTAATTATAAAAGTAAAACGAAAAACATGGTTTGTGCACAATAAATTGTCTTATACAGAAAGTTAAATTCTATCTAGTTCAAATCAGTTTGTATAATTTTTAATACATTCAGCGTAAATTTGTATGGTTTTGATATAAGCATCAAAATAATTATAAAAAATGTGCTCCTTTAGTCCCAAAACTCACTTTCAATCAATTTTTAAGCCTAAAAGTGCACCATCTCTCTGGTTTCCACAATTTCAACGGCAAAATTGAAACGCAATTTGTTTCTCTTAAATAAAAAATGCATCACAATCACATAACCACACTTCTAGCAAAGGACCTTAATTCATATCCACCAGATCCATAATCAAACAAGAAACTGTAAAGGTCACCTGTAGTTTACTCTTTCTTCGATTATGAATTTGATGGATAATAATTAGGATTCCCTATTCAGGAGGTGATCATATGATTGTCATGTGCCTTTTTTGGAAGAAAATAAATTGTTTTCCCATTTTGCTATTTAAATTGTGGGTGCCTACGAAAGGCACACACTTTTTGGCTAGAAAACCGATCAAAAAATGAGCTCGCGAACTAAAAGGATACTTTTCTTTTGTTATATTTGATGGACTATTTTGACTAATTCTAATTTGGTAATTTTTCTTTTAAAATATAATCTACATGTGTAATATTAATAGGAGCAGGGGTTGATGGGGTCTCACAAGTTTTATTTCTCACAAGTTTGCCTTTTAATGTAATTGAGTTGGAAAATAGTGTGACAAAAGTTGAAATATGATTTGATTGAGTTAAAAAATGGTGTAATAAAATATGAAGAAATACAACGAAGTCCATGGCAGCCGAGACTGCCCCCCCTCCTCCAGGTGGGAGGCCGTCGGCCTCTTCCTCCCCCACCTTTAGGAAGAAGGCCTTTTCTGCGTTGTTTGAACCGCAACCGACGTCGGAGGTAGTGCAAGTCCAAGCGAGGATGACAACACACCGTGGAGAGCCTGCAGTGGTCTTCAGTGCGGCTGAAATAGCAGCGATTGCTGCTCCATTCCGCTACACTTTGGTTGGGAAGTTCTCTAAGGGGCAGCCGCTGCTGCCTGACCTGAGGAAGTTCTTGTCGACTCTTGATTTGAAGGATACGGCGACTGTGGGATTGTTAGATGCTAGGCATGTTTTGCTGAAATTTCAGTGTGAAGCAGACTTCCTTCGCGTTTGTGGTCGAAATTTGTGGTACGTGAATGGATGCCCCATGAGGGTTTTTAAGTGGACATCTAAGTTCCATGTGGACAGAGAGTCTTCCCTTGTTCCCGTCTGGTTTAGATTGCCCAAACTCCCAATTCACTTATTTGCTAAGCCATGTCTATTTCATCTTGTCTCCTGCTTGGGTACGCCGCTTTTCGTGGATGCGGCTACGTCTTCGTTTTCGCGACCGAATGTGGCACGGGTATGTGTTGAGGTGGATCTGCTCAAATCGATTCCGTCGAGGGTGTGGGTTGATATGGGAGATGGGGATGGCTTTTGGCAGGCTCTTATCCCTGAGAACCTTCCTAGTTATTGCAGCCACTGCTATCTGTACGCAATAAAAATTTCAAGTCTGCAAAACGACAAGAAAAAGAAATACACGACAAATATGTACTATATAAACTTAGAAAAAATATGTAGGTACAATCTCTGGAAGTTTCTCGGACTTATGGAGAGCTTCCTTCGATTCTTCTCCTCGAACACCAATCCAAGGGCTTCGCAGCTTGTTCTTGGATCAACCACCGACTCCTTCAAATCTTGATATGGAAGATTTGAAGGATTTGAAAATACTTGAAGGCTCAAGCCTTGATATGCGGAAGACTTGAGGAGCTTTGAGACCCAGACCTTCGTAGCTTGAAACTTCAATACTTGAGTGTATGAGATGCTTCTTGATATCTCTGTGTGTCCGTGTGTGTGTCCTTGATTTGGTTAAGAGACCTTTATTTATAGTTGTAGCAAGAGGTAGAGGTTGAGAACCTGTGTACCGCTCCACTTGTCTTGCAAGACGTGCAGTCATATTAGGACTGTGCTAGCCAACTATTATCTCTTCATTTTATATTTATTAATAAAGAGATAAGTAATTTATCGATTGGCCAAACTTGTGGGGACACGTGACGTGGCACCGCTTGACTGGCCAAGCTACTGCAGTATATAAGAGGTATACTTGGATTAAATAACTCTAAATATTATCCCTTTAATAAGAAATAAATACTTAGATATTTATCCAATAGGTATGTGATATGATATGATTTAGTTGGTGAAGATACCCCTGCGATTTGAATTGGTTTGGAACACCTCGCCTTGACACGTGGCAAAATATAATTGGTCATTTAATAACCAATTTTCCAAGTATACATGCCCTATGGCAATATCCGATTGGACAAAAATATTTTATAGACCAATGGTAATTCCATTGTCTACAAATGCCCCCTCGAAACTTGTTCGTGAATGTTGAAGACCGAAGCAAATTTTGATCGGACAAGTTTTGACACATTTTTTTTTGTTTCAACTTGAACACCGTTGATATTTTAGCTTTTCAAACAAAACTCATAAATGGGCTAAACTCCAAGCTTTGCAAACTTCATATCAATGACTTGTATCATATAGGATAGCTACGTGGAAGACCACCAATTCATGCCTTATTGATCTCAATTTCCAAGACCACTAGTGCCTCCAATTTCCCGAGGCCGGATCACTTCATTTGGAAGCCTTATGTCCACCGCTTGAATATCAATCCAAGCAAAATCTATTCAATGCCGTGGCTTTGCTCAAAGCTTTACAATTGAAATATCAACTCATGGACTTATATTCAAAGCTCTGCAATGCCGTGGGACTTGTGCTCAAAGCTTTACAATTGGAATATCAACTCATGGACTTATATCCAAAGCTCTGCAATGCCGTGGGACTTGTGCTATGAATCCCCCACAATAAATAATCTTATTCACACTTTTCTTACAAACTTTGCTTTGTGGAATGCAAACAATATGAACGTTTTGCATCTCAAACTGAACAAGAGGAATCCCTTAATTTAATCTACTATAAACACCACCTTTGCTGGACCATGGCCAAAGTAGGCGGTGAATTTGAATTCCGAACCAATCCAAAACTTTAATCGCTAGTCCTTTACGACTTGTAGAAATCAAGTCGTGGAAGGATCAAACCCTTGACCAGGAGTCGAAATAGGAAATTATAAATTGCGACCCCATACAATAAAGAATTGCCCCTTGTTTTTACTCACCTGCAAATCACGCCCACCACCTTAATCAAGAAGATTTGCGCACAACCCATATTAGAGATCAATTACCACTGAGAATACCAGGTAGCATCTGATGATGATTAGGAACCTACGAGATATGCATAGTCGAATTAGAAAGTCTTGAGCGCAAGTTCCATGTAGTATTCGAATTCCAAAATGATTAGGAAAGTCCTGCAAGTCCCGTAACTCCCGAGGCCAGATCCCAAATAGCTTTCCTTTTGTCTACCTTATGCATAAGAATTCTTGCCCTTTGTGAATTCTACCAACTTCGATCTCTGCGAACTTGGGAAATATCTCGGTGGTGACTCAATAGATAAGAGATCCACTTTAAGAAGGGAACTACATCTGGACGAACCAATCCCAAGCTTGCTTATTGAATTTCAGCAGGAGTAGAGACCCATTCGGATTTAGATTAGACCCTTCTTCAATCTCGACTGACCATTCTGGAAAGTCCCGAAGCCAGGTTCACATTAGACTTGTAATTGACTTCAAACTCACCTTAACGATCCTTTGGATCGAAGAGGTTAACTCTCCTTGAGTTCTGAAGTTTTGCGGAAATATCTCTTCTAAAATAGACCACTTAAGTAAGGAGCTGCCCACAAGAGCCTTCAATATCCGAATAAGAATCATACAGGCGATTGACGTGGGACTCCATCTCGCAAGCATCTGTCTTGTGAGCACCTTGCATGCAAATAACCTTTCAATTGGCCTAGAGAACTTTCAACTTTAATTACGAGGTAAATATCTTGCTCCTTGATCAATCATAAACTCCACCGCTTCGCAAGTTTCCATGCCGACACAACTTACTCAGCGTATAGGGGTTGGTTGCGACAAGAATTCCTTCCAAGGCCAACATAAATGGAAGCTATATCGCATGGGATAATAAACTGGTCCTTTTTAGAAGCAAGCCCCCTGAAGCCAGTGTAGAATCCACTTCCCAATATACAGCCGACTTAATTGCTAGGACCCCTGAAGATATCCCTCAAACGATTGAAGCGGACCAGGAAGCTAGTTGTATTTGAACTCAACTTTCTCCCAGATTTGTAGTAGAGATTCGTCCTATAAATCCCCCAAGTCCAAAGCCGTGAACTTGCTCAAAAAAAAAAATTTCTCTTCCCTTTTGATTCCCGAATATTGTTGTCATGAGGTGCCGCTGCTACGTCCCCTATTTTTGCTACTGCCGTCATTCACAATTTACTAGTTTGCTTGGCCTTGCCGCCCCTTAAACTAATAGAATCAATTTGGAGTTGGTCAGAACGTGCCGAGCTACGCTAGGATTATTTTTAAGGTACGCACTACTCCTCCAAGCTATGGTACCACCCTGCTTGTGTTTCTTGTTCTACTACTTTGCATGGAACCGCGGCTTACCCTTGTAGTCTGTGCAACAACAGATTCGGAGACAACCTTTTCGTTGTCAATGTTGCAAGCCGTTTGAAGGATCTGGTCGCTTCTTCCACTATAGCTTTGAAGGTAGTCACTCTAATTCTCGTTCACACACATTCATACCTTCTTGTATCGACGGTTCCCATACTTGCTTTAGTTTGTCTTGACAGCGTCTGACCCTTGAGATCTTCACCGAGCCGCAAGCATCAACTGTCATCCATTGGTAGCGTTTGAACACTTTCTTCTCAACGAGTTTTATTTCTCTTAAGCCGCATCAACAAATTGCCGCACGCCAGAGTCAGCCGTCATCAGGTACCTGCGGCTTCCCTTTTTTTTTCTTTCTTGCAACATTTAATTATTACAAGAAGTTTGAGACGCTTAGAGCCCCATGACTTTACTAAACAATTTCTCAAAATATTATTTGAGAATGAAGCTCAGGTCAAAACATACATATGAGCTATGCCTCAGAGCTGAAAATTCAATTTTTGTTTTTGTTTTCTTTCGTTTTTGTTTCTTTTTTTTTGTTTTGTTTTGTTTTTGTTTTTTGTTTTTTTTTTTGCTCATTTACTAGGGTAATACCAAATATAATATTTGAACCCCCCTCTTTTTCCTTAACACTAAATATGCTTATTTGAGCAAAAGTTTTTTTTTTTTTTAATCTATTAGGATAATACCAAATATGATATTTGAACCCCCTTTTTTTTTCCTTAACACTAAACATGCTTATTTGAGCAAAAGTTAGTTTTTTTTTTTTATCTATTAGGATAATACCAAATATGATATTTTTTTTTCCCATGTATGAGGGTAATATCAAATATGGTATTTGAGAGCCCCCTTTTTTTTTTTTTCCAAATATTACTATACATGATTTTGATCTAAACTTTGTCAACTTGCCTCTTTGTAGACAACTCAAGCTGCGCTTGAAGAGGGGTTCGAAATAATTCCGGGGATTTGAGAAGAGGCAACCAATTAGGTAATTTAATTACCAAACTTCTTGCACGACGCTCCTGCATCCTCTAATATTTTCTTTTACAAGATTCCAGCAATCATGCAAATTAAGGACTACGCCGTGCCAGTGCCGCATATTTCACTGACGGATGAACGGGGAGGAACTCAATCAAAGAGCTTGTCACTACATGTTTACAAACCAGCAATCGGGCCGCTCGCTGAATCTTTCATACCCCTCGAAGGATGCTTTCATCTCGAAAACTGGGCTAGCAAGTGGACTAAGGAAGTGGTGGCACCGTCGACTTTCTCCACTACGTCAAGGGAAGAAGAAGTGGTCGTGCTAAACTCGTCTCTTCACAATGGAGATCCAGAAATAGCCAAATTCACTCTTCCGTTCGTGGGATTCAATGTTGACAAAGCTACATGGAAAACCCCTTCGTCATTCTTCGGTGAGGCGTGCTTCACCTCCCATTATTGGGAGTGGGTTGAGGACATGCTTGGAAGGCATAAAGACATACTCACACGCGCTGGTATATTTGAAGCCGTCTACACGTCGAGATACTCCTACGACCGCTGTGAAAATATCTTGCGAGCCTTCTTCAAATATTGGTGTCCCTCGACGAACACACTCCATACGCCCGTTGGGGAGTTGTCCATTACACTTTGGGACCTCTATCGACTTGATGGCCTTTCGATCGACGGCACGTTTTTTGATGAAGTTGTTCCTTCGGCACGGGAGCTCCTCACTCGTGACAAAGAAGGGAAGCCACTTCTCCCCGAGAGTTGCAGGCACCTCTTTTCCGCCTACTACCACCTTTGGACGAATGACCAAGGGGTATGGATGAAGGACTGGATTCGCTTCTGGTTCAAAGGAGAGGCTAGGTATAGGGCTCCTCCGAATAGAGCGAATAGAAGGAAGACCACATCTAAACCAAAAATGACTTACAACCCTTCTGGAAGCGTGGAGCCTTACGACCTTGCCGATACGAATGACTTCAATGTCCCTTTTGACATCCTGGGTATCCCAGAGTCTCTAAGAAAGGAGACCTATATTGCGGCATTCATAGCGTGTTGGATCTGCAAGTTCCTTTTGCCAAGCAAAAAGGTCGACCGTATCCGCCCAAGCGTTTTCAAGGTTGCATGCTTAATGGCTACAGGGAAAAGATTTTATCTTGCAATTCCCGTCCTTGCGAGCATATATCACGGGTTGAGGGAGATCGTCCACGCCCCTAACCTTGGAGAATGTGGAGTAACTTTTCCAATCCATTACGTCTATGCTTGGATTGGCCAATATTTCGACGTATATCACGAGAATAATCAAGTGAGTAGCCACCATGCGCGCATGACGAGATTTAGCGGTGAGAAAATGGCAATATTCTATGGTCGATCAGAAGCTGAGGAAATCTTCAAAGAAGTGAATCCTTTGAGGCTTCCTAAATTGTGCTGGACTGAGAATGAAGAAAAGGTATTGATCGATGATGGATCTTTATCATCAAGACTTACGAGCTACTTCATTAGTCAACGCTCTTGCCATTTAACTTTACGTAAGGACAATACTTTCATTATTGAAAAATATAACCCTTGCAGGTTTAGCAGACAATTCGGCTTTTGTCAAGACATCCCCAACAACTTGAAAGAAATCACTCACACTTACACTTTGGGCGAGGCTATTCAACTATGGGATTCCTCAGTTCGCATGCAAACGCGATCTCGGATGACTATACCCACGCACAGGAAACATCCGTTGATCACAAAAGACTACGATGTCTGGTGGTCGACTCGATCAAATAGTGTCTCTTCAACTCCCTTTAAATTCACCGTTAAGATCACTCAGCAATCATCGAAGAAGGGTAAGGTTACCTCCGCCAACGAGCCCGTGCATCCTAACGGAGTTATAGAGATTGTAACGAGTCTTGCCTCATCCACCTTGCGAAAGAACCAAATTACTAGCAGTCATTCGAAAAATATTGCCACAAAAAATAAGTCTTCCAAGGACTCTCGACAGGCCATCAAAGAGGCGCAACCAGTGGTTCCAGCGAAGAAGACGCCGCCCAAAGCTTCAAAATCCTTATCGGCAACTCGCACTGAAGAAGATGTCGAAATTGAAATGGTGGACGATCATGACTCTATCGAGGCTATAGAAAAGGAAGGAACTCAAGTTCAGGGCATCGGATCTACCCAGGGAGGAGCCCATTCGTTGGCGAGCGGTAGTAGTAGTCAAGATCGTCATTGGAACCGATCAAAGAAGAGGACATCTTCTGATTTGGAGGAGATTTCCTTTACACCACCGTCGGTTGAAGTGTCGCCACTTAAGGTAATCATCTCTCCATCTTTTTTCCTTTTTTTTTTTTTGTAATAATTTTCTTTTGGTTGTAACCTTTTTCTTTTCAGCCCCCGTTTCTTGAATTCCGTCAAGAAGGTGTTGGTAACAATTCACCACCCGAACTCGAAGTTGATATAATTTCCAACAACAAAAGTGACGAAATAGCTATCAGTACTCCCAGACAATTTGCCCCCAATGGAGATACTTCGTCACTGCATAAGAAGGAGCTGATTAGTTCGCACGAAATCCGAAAAAGACCTAAGGCAGTACTTGTTTCAGAATTTCATGGCCAAAAGCTGATCCAGGCACATCGAAGAAAGTATTTGCAGAGTTTGTGGATGGATTTTCACGGACAGATTCTGGACACTCCAACTGAGCAGATCTCTTCTTTAAAAGAGTGTGCAGAGGAAATCATTACAGAAATCACAAGAACAGATCCCGCCAAAGGTCTCCCTTTAAAAGACCACTTGATGGAATTGTTTGCCAAGGCGGAGGCTTATGATGTTCTAGCATTTTCATCGTGGGAAAGGATGAACAAAGAAACACATGCAGAACTCCTTTCCAAAGCGACCGTCCAACTCGAGAAAATTAAGGCAAAGGGAGAAGAACTGACTCGTCATTTACAAAGTCTTGAAGAAGAGTTGCAATCCATTGAAGCCAGGAAGAAGGTTCTGCAACAGAAACTCATCGGTTTGGAGAAGCAAAGTCTGGAAATCACCTCAACTATCGATCAAAAGCATGAGACCTTCAAAGAGATCCAGGTCGAAATAACCCAAGCGCATGATGAGCTATCTTCCATTGAACAGACCAGCATCTTGACTGATGACTCTGTGAAGGAACTTGAGGACACGAAGTCTGCACTTGAATCATATAAAGTAGCTGTAGTGGAATACAAATTTGATGTTTAGACTTTCCACCATGTTCTTCTTCTTCCTGAATTCTTTTGTCATTCATTTTTTTTTTCCATGTAATGAGTTTCTTTTTTTTCAATAATAAAATGCTTTTCATTTCTTATCTCTTGATGTTTTTTTTTTAAAAGAGAAAAGAACTCAAATGGAGCATTTTATTATGTTTTTTTATTTTCTGGAAAGAGGAAATTCCTTTTTTTTTCATCTCTCTTTTTTTTTTTTTTTTTTGCAAGGGACAAGGATTTGATTTGGAGTGGTGTAACTGAACTTAGAAGTTGCCCTCCAAGCTGCCTACATATCCCAACAAGGGAATCAAGTCACACGTAGTTCCTGCCGTTCACATTTTAACCTCATGCGGGCCAGGAGTATCTATTTGTTTACCACCTTAGACTTTGTGGAGTGTTTCAGCAGTTTAACCACATACTACACTATTGGTGGTTGTCATCCACAGTTTTAGCTCATGCGGGCCAGGAGCGTTGCGCGGTTCCGATTATGCATAGTACCTTTTTAGGTACTTGCCATTGATGGGGCCAACCCTTAACCCGTCTTCAGCAACCAACTTGTATGAGCCATTTGTATACACTTCCCGAACAACATATGGACCATCCCACTTAGAGGTAAACTTTCTTTGTCCGCCATGAGTGAGAATGATCGGTCTCCGAACAGCGAGTACTAACTCTCCAATTTGAAAGGAGCGTGGCCGGACATGCTTATTAAATGCTTTTGAAAGGCGAGCCTGATAGCACTCAATTCGTTGCTGAGTCTCCAATCTCTTTTCGTCAAGTGCTTCTAACTCCTCAAGGCGAAGACGAACATTATCTTCTTCACTGAGCCCTTCTTGAATTGCGATTCTTAGCGAAGGTATTTGACACTCAAGTGGAAGAACGGCTTCAACACCGTAAACAAGTGCGTATGGGGTTGCTTGCGTGGGAGTTCGAAAAGTAGTTCGGTATGCCCAAAGTGCTTCTCCAATTAGAAGATGCCAATCCCTTCTCGATTTATCCACAATTTTCTTCAATAGATTACATAAGGTCTTGTTGAATGCTTCAGCGAGTCCATTTGCAGCAGCATAGTACATGGACGACTTGTATTGTTTGAAATGAAACTTTTCGCAAAGCTTGTTCATTGCTGCATTGCAAAAAGGTTTATCATTATCGGTGATAATATAACGCGGAACTCCATACCGATAAATGATATGCAAGCGAATGAAATCTACTACATTCTCCTTTTTGACCTCTCGTAGAGGGACTGCTTCAACCCACTTCGAAAAGTAATCTGTCGCTGCCAAAATGAAAATGTGTCCGCCAGAAGACTTTGGGAGTAGTCCAACTATATCCAAACCCCAAGCATCGAATGGCCAAGAAGCCACTGTTGGGTGCAATGGTTCCGGAGGTTGATGGATGAAATTGCCATGGAATTGACATGCTTGACATCTTCTAGCAAAGTCAATGCAATCCTTTACCATTGTTGGCCAGTAGTATCCCATTCTTTTAATGCGAAAGTGTAATTTCGGGCCAGACTGGTGAGCACCGCATATCCCAGAGTGAGCCTCCTCCATTGCTTGCATGGCCTCATCTTCTCCAAGACATCGTAAAAACACCCCATCGAATGACCTTCGGTAAAGCATCCCTTTGTAGTAAATGAAACGTGGTGCTCGACGACGTATATCAACCCTTTTCTTAGGATCTTCTGGTAACCTCCCATGATTAAGGTAATCAGTGATGAGGTGACGCCAATCCTCTTTTTCGATCTCATGGACAAAAATATGATAAATAT